AGACCTAGAATGCCCTCTGGTCTAACACATGATTAAACCACTCCCCAGAACTGGATAGCACCATTTGCTTAACAAGCTCACATTGAAGCTCCTTCAGCATAAGTTGTCTCTGGGAAATCAAGTCTTTGCTGATAGTGGGTTAAATCCTTGTGGGGAAAAAAATGTGCTACTCACTCAATTATACTGATCTCAGGTACAGAATTTTATATCAATAGGTGGGACATTTAGATTTTGAAATATATAACCATATCCGGGACATTTGTTGCCCCAGTGAATCAGACGGAGATCATCAAAGCACTTGCAGGTTCTTATAGAAAGAAACTATATTAAATTGGTCCAAATGAAACTCTTTTTTTTTTAAAAAAAAATTCTGTTTACTCTTCTTGGAATACGCAATGATGAATTTCAAACTTATAATGAGAAATAAAATAATTCAAATAGTGCAAACAGTCAGGTCAATTGTTTCCACTAGAAATAACATTCTTTCTTCCATGCAAAGCATTCCAGTCAGATGTAAAATTCCATTTGGTCTTTTCGTTTTGGGACTTTTCCATGAAAACACATCTCTCAGCTAGGGGCCAAATACAAATGTTAAGTCTTCATAAACTGGTTTTCGTAGTGACAGAAGAGAAAATGGAAATAATGTTATGATAACATGAACTGTGGCCGTGAAGGGAACGGGCCTTTGTCCATGCCTAACCTAACAGCAGAAACCATTTTAAGCTTTTCTGCTAACACAAAATTAATTTAGTGCGAAGAAATGTTTATCCAAAAGATGAACGAGCTAAAGTATGAGTGAGGTAGACCAGAAGTCCCATCAGGAAGCCACTAGCTCCTCCAAAGTGGAAGGGCAAAGACAGGAGGGTCTGAGCCATGAGGTGGGAGCTGGGACTAGAGTGGTTCTGTCTACCAAAGCTGCATGTAGAAAAGCCACTGAGGCAGTGAGGTTGATAATGTGAGCTGGATTTGGTCTCCCTTCTTGTCATGGTTTGGATGAAAAATGGCCTTCACAAGGTGATGTGCTTGAACACATGGTACCCAACCTCATGGTACCAAAACATGGTACTTAACCTTTGGATAAGCATTTCTTTGCACTAAATTAAATATGCAGGCTATGCACTTTTAGGAAGTAGTGTCTAGCTGGAGGAGGTGGGAAACTGGGACTGGGCCGGCTTTGATTTCAGCTCAAGGTCTCTCTTTTCAGGTTTGTGGCCAGGAAGCCAGCCTCAACCGTGTACTCTTATCATCGTAAACTCTGCACAGTCAGTCCCACCATGATGCACTGTGCCTTTTACCCTGCATTCTCTATGGCTTCTGTCAGACATTTGGTTATAAAGTGAGAGTCATAGCTATAACACTCCTCTACTGGCTATCTCCTACTGGTGGTTGTCCACTCTCTGCCACAGCTGCTGGCTGCCAAGAATACCTGTGAAATAGCTCTGTGTAGGGTGAACCATACAATGGTGCAGAGCACAGAGAACAGCTGGGCAACGCTCTGTGGACAACAGGGCCCAGATACAGCCAACACACGTAGCATACTCTGTGGGTTTCCTGAAGCGCTTACCTCTTTTTGCAAAGAGTTAATTCTGTGTGGATTTGGTGAACTTGTAACTATTATAGCTTCACAAGGCATTGCAATGTGAGCTTTGATGAAATCCAAGACTCTTCTATGCCTGCATAGTGTCCACATCATTCTGAAAGATTTTTTTTTAAGCTTAATTATGTCAAGTGTAGTAAATGAACCCTCTCTGGTGTTATTTCTCCCAGTAATGAATATCAAAGTGACCACTTCCTCATCCCTGAATGATATTTAAATTAACATTACAATCTAGAGCTCACCCCAAGTTTAGAACACAGGACTGGGGTATTGCTCAACAGCAGAGCAGTTACCTAGTATGCTCGAGGTCTTGTATTCTATACCCAGCACAGGAAAAATAAAAGTTAAGTTTATGCCCAAAATACATTTAGATAATTGGAATCTTAGTTAAGGTTTCTATTGCTGTGAAGAGATACCATGCCCACAGAAACTCTTATAAAGAGAAAACATTTAACTGTGCTCGTGGCTTATTTTTTTTAGAGGTTTAGTTCATTGTCATCATTGTGTGACATGGTGGTGTGCAGGCAGACATGGTGTTGGAGCAGGAGAGAGAGTCCTTACATCTTGATATACAGGCCACAAGAAGTGATCTGAGACACTGGGTGGTAATCTTGAACATATAATGAGATCTTGAAACCTGCCTCCACAGGGACACACCTCCTCCAACAAGACCTCACCTACTCCAACAATGCCACACCTCCTAATAGTGACATTCCCTTTGGTAGCCATTTTCTTTCAAGCCACCACAGTTGGAGTATCTTGGTCCATCTGTTGAGTATTGCATTATAGCCTCAACCACTCTATCCAATGGCTTAGTACCCATTTGTTACACATCATGCAGTGACATTATGACATTCTTGATTAGTTAAAGCAAGATTGAGAGGAATCTTAGTCCAATTATCCTTCTATAAAAGTACCATAAGCTGTACACATAATAAACAATAGAAGTTTATATGACACAATTGTAGTAGCTAAGATATCCAAGACCAAGACAATAGCATTGAGTGCTGAGGGCCCATTTTCTACTTCAGTTGACCGTGATGTTTAGCTGTGTGCACACATGGCTAGAAGGGCTAAGACATCTCTCTTGGTCTTGCTTTCTTTTGTTGTTGTTGCTGTATTTTTTTACTTCCTTTAGTTTTTATATGTGTTTGTTTTGGTGTGTATTATGTCAGCATGAATGTGCCGTGGCTTATGTGTGAAAGTCAGATGACAGACTGTGGGAGTTAGTTCACTCCTTCCACTGTATGGGATCCAGGGATCAAATGTAAGTCTGTAGGCTTGGTAGCAAGCAACTCTCCCTACAGTGCTACGTCACTATCCCTGGGGCCTCTTTTATAAGGAAGTTAACCTTATCAGAAGTGATCTTCTTCATGACTCAATCACTAAAGGCTCCACCCCTCAGTATCATTGCCCTGGCCTTGCAACATATGGCTTTAATGGGACATATTCCATCTCTTGATTTTCAGATTGCCTTCTCAACACAGGTCACTTGGAGAGGTACTGCCAGCATGTGTATAACATCTTGAAGTTTTAAAAGGATTTTATTAAACTTGTTCTTCTTCATTTGGACAAATTACCTATATTATAACTGTCTGTGGAGGCTGGCTCTACAACCACCCCTAAGAGCTTGCTGCCTGCCTTATCTTTGCTGTTCAGTTCTGATCATGCCTGTGTCACTGAAACTACATCCAGTTTGGAGTTAAGTCTAAAACATCCCAGAAACCATCATACTTCTTATGGGGATTCAAAAGACACTTACTCGTATGAGCTCCAAGGGCCTGGTTTCCATATGCTTAGCCTATGAGAAAAGTTTGCTACTATCTTTGGAATCATGTGAACTAAAGGAGGTAGGAAGCCTCATTTATAGGACTCTTATATGACACTCCCCACCCAGCAGATATGTAAGCATGTTTCCAGATGAGATGATTGTCACCTAGAGTAGGGAGGTCATAATATGATATACATATTTCTAAATATGCACAATTAAGATAGGAATCTGTACAAAAGTTTTTCCAACTTCCTCCCAGAATGCTGCTCTCTCAGTTCACGTAAATGTGCGAGCTAAGACAGAACACCAGACTGCACTGAATAAGATTCATGCTTACTTACTTTTTCTTCATTATTCCTTTGAAGTTGTAGTTTAGAGAACCTGGCAACTATAAATCATTGCTCTCCAGGAAGGATAACAACTCCAGACTCATACCAAACTTGAAACAAGAACAACCTTCCTGCCCTTAAATAATAGCCAGTCAACAAGACAATTTGAAATTGTGAGCAGGCTAGACCAGAGACCGAGAGAGGAACGCTTATCTTCATCCCACCGATTTCATTTCACAGAAGTTTTAAGAGCATGTGAAGAGGTTTTCCCAGTGAAAACAGAATAAAAGTGCCTACTGAAGGGCTGTTTTCCAGCACTGGCCCCCAGTTCCTCATTGCCACTAATGGGAACTCTTCGCACACAGCCTCCAAGACCAGACCTCCTAAGTAGAGCATTTTTTTCCTTGGAGATTTTTCTTGTTGGGACTTTAATTAAGCTCCTGCCAGGCTTGCAAGATTCTTAATTTTACCTTTCTTTCTTCTTTCTTTCTCTTTCATTCTTATATCAGCCTGCTTGCCAGGAGTCATTTTCCAAGCTGTCACAATTAGAGTAAATGTACCCTATGATATTCCATTTAGTGCTATTTTAAGTATTTATTTTTCCAAGCGTCTATAGGAGAAGTTTTCACGCAGGAAAGATTTTGATCATTCATTCATTCATTCATTCATTGCATTTTACTTTAGATTGTGTATTATAAACGAGAGAGTAACACATCAGAAAAAGAAGCTTTGTGGAGAGATGAAACTCATCATTCTGCATGTCAGCCCTTAAAAGAAATTTGCTTTCACTTAACCCTACCCACTGCTCAGAAGCCAACTGTAGACAGTTACTGCTGCTGGTGAGGGAACAAATGAGTGAGCCAAGAGAAGATGGTATTTCAGCTGATGATTTAACACATATTTAATGAAACACAATATTTAATATATTTAGGTTCCCTTGCAAGACCTCTTTGTCTGCAAACAGTGCAATTCTGAAAATATAAAGGCAAGGACTGGGAGTACAAGAGATGACCCCTTTAAAGCAGATTGCAGAAGAAGCTATTTTCATTTGAGAAAGCTTAAATTTGGTGGCCTTAAATAGATTTCTCTCTCTCTTTTTTTTTTCTGGTCTGAGTATTTTGGTTTTAAAGCTCAGATAATATTGCAGGGTGAGATATAAAACAAGCCACCCAAATGACAAAACCTAAGGCTACAGATATGAGCATAGGGTACATATTCCGTTTTTCTGTTGTCATGATCGGCATCAATCTCATTATTGTTATTAATTCCACCACACCCAGCTTTTTTTCTGGGGTATACTTACTGATTGCCTCCACAAACTGCTCAAAGAAACTGTAAGGGAAGAGTGGTTCAGACAGCTCCCGGAAAAACATCTTCAGTGCTCCGGTGACGACGTGGATGTCCTCCCACTGGCTGTCATCCAAATTCAGCTTCTCTTCTGGGAAAACACGAGGAGAAATGGAACAACTGGTTTTAATGAAACAATTACAAGACACTAATTATTATGTTAATGTTTGCCTACTATCATCAGCAACCGTTAACAGCCTTCTGCACCTAGAGGTTTGGTGCTGTGCATGGGTTTTCTTTTTTTTTTTTCCTTCTCTCGTATTCTGTAGGAAGGGAACATTTTCAATGGAATGCCATCTGTAGGAATGCAGCTAACAAAAAACAAGGGACACAAAGAGACAGTACCATTGACACAGTATGTCAGATACAGTTATTCCCATAATGCATCAGTATGAAAATTAGCATCACGGCTCTACATGATTCAAAGCTATTTGGTTTTGAGGCCGAGGGGCTAAGAGTTGCCAGCGATGGCTGGCTCAAGGGACCGGTCTGAAGGCCTTGCTGAGCCAACAGGAGACATATGCTAAACATGGCAATAGAAAACGAGTTATTGCTTTACATGTGTTATCCCTGCTATGTACAAGGGAATAATGGCTAACACTTTTTTCTTTTTTTTCTTTCTTTCTTCTTCTGTTTCTTTTCTTGCCTAAATCTAAAGTCAGCAAGGAATAGAATATGGGGGAGGGGGTAGGATATTAATTCCTTCTTACTGCTTCAGAAACATTTTTTCTTCCGTTTTCATCTCAGTGAGGGAAATGTACCCAGCAACAATATTAGACAGACCCCTGTTGGCCTATGCAGGCTATGCAAAGCTGCCAAAATGATAACACGCCGAAGACAAACCACAAATGCTAACCAACTCTTTAGAAACAACAAAAATATTTGCTTGGGAAACCTGAGCGAGTAGCTGCCGTGACACACCGAAGAACTTAGGTGCCAAAGCGAATGTTCAGTAGCGAGGGAATGTGATAGGTGATTATCACCCCCTCTTTAACTCTCAGGAGGAAAATCTGGGATCATTCTCATACAAGGAAGGGATGATGGCTGTCTAGAAGTGACATCTTTACGTATAATTAAAAGGAAGCAAGATACGATGACATTTCTGCTAATCTATAGGACAAGCTACAAAGAAACGCTTTTTTTTTTTCCTGGGCTTAAAGGAACAAAAGCTTATCAGTTATGACATGGAGTTAACTGAAGATCCAAGAATCCTGGTAAAAACTTACAGGTGTTTGGTTAATTGGAATTTTTTCTCTATTTTGATGATGTCTGAGCTCACGGTCGCATGCCCCCACAGTGTGAGCTCTATGAATGCCAAGGAGCATTTTGCAACAACAACAACAAAAAGGGAAGAAAAGAAAGAAAAGAAAAGCTGAGAACTGTCACTGTAGGGATTCTCTGCAGGAGCTGTTTTGCTAAGAGTGTTCAAATCCTTTTAAAAATATTAGCCCACATCGCTATCACATCCTTTTTTTTTTCTAATAAACTATTATTTTCAGGGCCTGTGAGTGATGTTCCTGCCCAGTAGTATGTTTTCAAAAAGTGGGGATGAGGTGGATCTGTTTCTGCTAGAGGGGCTCTTTGCCTCCTCCTCTCGATCGTCCTCCCTGCCGCCATCATAACACACCAACAGGACCCACAACAAAAATCAGCAGAGGAGACCTTCTCTCTGCCCTGCAATCATTTTGATTGATTGTATGTCAACAATTAGTCTTTTATTTGACTGCACACTATTGAAATAGGCCGACAGCATCTTAGCAGGCCGGCTTTAAACAGTCAACTGTTAACAATAGCATCAAAAAGGGAGACCTGATGGGGTTTACTGTCACTTTAAAGAACGGGGTTTTCACATTGTTGAAATCTGTCAGATATTTTGAAATGTCCCTCTCACTATGGTGCCACACCCCCTGCGTGCCCTTATAATAAAATCGGTTTTACTCCTGATTAAATCATTTTCTCCCTACCCACTACCATACTTCTCATAATGGACCTGTGTGCTCTACAGCTGGTGTTCTTCCCATGGTACCAATTCTTACTTTATCTTTTAAGCACTTTGCTGCTAAGATCTCATGCAGAGTGCTTATGTTTTGTTAAGAGCTTCATTCTTAGAGAAATAGTTTAACACATGTTCTAAAAATGTTGTACAACTTATTGCTTAAAACACATTTAGAAAATGTATCAGTACTGTAGCTCTGGCACTGATCTTGAAGTGGAAAACCTAAACATACACACGCATGCAGGGAAACTCACGCACTCAACTTCCCAACTTTATTAGGGAAGTAAAGCATCGGGTGGCGTTGTGGTGAGTAGATTAGAGCCTGCTAAGGGGAGACATTCAGAGAGCCAAAAGGAACATGTTCATATTGGACAGAAAGTCGACAATAATAACAAATAGCTACTTAACATGAGGGCAATGCCATTAATGTTAGTCACTTTCATATATACAGCAGCAAATTTTAGAGAAGGTGAGGAAGGAGCCTTTCAGTAGGCTGAAAAGAAAATATGTCGATGGATGAGTGCCACTTCACTGTGTCTGCTTAAAAGTTTTAAGCCGGACTACTGTGAATTTGTGTCATTTACACAAGAATTCTTATTATAGGAATATAAATATAGATATCAGTAGTCATCATTTAAAGAAAAAAATAATTATGATTTGTAAACTTCCACAAATAGCTCAAGTAAACAATATGGCAAGAGTTGACATTTGTCATTTGAAATATGCTAGCTCATTTTTACATCCAGCATTCCATAACCAACAGATCTCATGTAATCCAGAGGGTCTCGTGGTAGGGCTTTCAAGGTCATGGTGGCTTATTTAAACATATAATTATGCCCAAAGAATCTGCTGTCTCACAAAGTCAGCTCATTCTCAAGAAAAACTGATCGTAACGCTTTCCTGGTATTGACAGGCATCATTCAAATACATTTGCGTTATCTGTAGGAATGTTCTAAGGGCTTTTCCCTTTTCAAGAACGTAAGGTATATGAGCAAAGGCACAGCATACCACCTGAGAAAAGATGATCGTTCTTATAGGACTGTCCTTTGTATTCTGGGATGTATAGGTAACATCCCTGGCCTTCACCCACTCGAGGCCAGTTGTGTTTCCTAAGGTTGACTATAGAAAACGTTGTCAAACATTCCCAATTATCTTCTGGAGCTGCAAACTCTTCTTGATTGACAGGATTAGACTAGAGGCTGCAAATGTCTGTGGACATTCCTCTACAAGCTGAGCTTATGAAATTAACTCATGTGGACACGGATCCATGGACTATATATATGTAGACACCACGATTTCCCAAATATGAACTTCAGAGTTGGTACTTTGTTTTAATTAAGGTTCTTATTACTGTGTGTGTGGACGGGGAGTGGGTGTGTGGGTGAACACAGACTGTGGCATGTATATCGAGGTCAGAAGACTGCTGCAGGAATCGGTTCTCTGCTTCTGCTGTAGGTCTGGGCAACCAAACTCAGGTAACAAGGCTGGTGTGGTACCCACTGAACTTTCCTGTGAGCATTGTAATTCTTAATTCCTGACAAAAATCAAAACCTTTTCTATAACAAAATTCATATATTGATATTCAAACTACTTAAAACAGAAATAATAACTGAAAATTATGTATCACTTAACTTATAGAACACGATGCTATGCATTTTGCAATTATATATTATTTAAATGCATGTTAAATTATATATAAGTAGGTAAGACAATGAAGTAGATGTTGTTGGCATGATTATTGGTTTTAAAGAGAAGATAAAAGGGCGGGATTAGCATAAGGAATTTTCTTATGAGTGACAAGGTAATGAAACTGAGATAAGGAGCCAATACATTCCCACTATGTTTACAATCGTTTTATGTATATACAATTTCGTCTGGCAGAAGCCAAAAAGCAAATAAGTAGTGTGAAGTGCTCGTAGATGGACCTGACTTCAGAACTGGGGACTTTTACATTTCATCTCTAAGGATCTTATTTGAGACTGTTCTTTCATCTACAAACTAACTCCAATATTTAGTAATTCCCCAATCACTGAGAGCCCAATTCTTATATGAGCAGATATAAAACAAACTGGCCATAAAAAGAAACAGCAGTAGGAAACAGTCGGAGATGAACAGATTATTATGTGAAGGGGTGTTGAAGAAACATGATAGAGTTGAAAAAATTATATGGATATATAAAATATCTTTTTTAGGCCTGGCTCACCACTGATACATTTTATGTCTATTCATTTATGTGTGAAGTGAAGATGGTTGGAGAGACAAACACTGCTTTCAACAGGGGAAATGCACACAGCATTTGGAAGTTATAAAGAAACAAACATCCAAGATACAACCGTGATGGGCAAGGCAAACAAGGGTTCAAAGGGGAAGATACATCAAGAGTGGAAGCAATGAAAACATAGAGAGAATATTATGAACTGTACTAATTGGTTTAGAGAAATCATTTCAGGGTGTTGTGGCTTACCATACAGGGTCAACAACAACTATACACACTGGGATCTAATGCTCAGAAAAGTTTGGTTGCTTCCAGGTATCTCATGATTGTTACACTCAAAATCTGTCTTAGTCAATGGTGGCTTTAAAACATATAATGTAATTAAGGTAGGTTAAGATTGAGAATCCAAATGCTATGAGATTTTTTTTTTTTTCGAGACAGGGTTTCTCTGTTGCTTTTGGAGTCTGTCCTGGCACTAGCTCTTGTAGACCAGGCTGGCCTCGAACTCACAGAGATCCACCTGCCTCTGCCTCCCGAGTGCTGGGATTAAAGGCGTGCTCCACCACCGCCCGGCATGCTATGAGATTTTTATGAAAACATGAATATATAAGATAATGTTTTACCCAAACAAGGCTGTCTTGAAATGTCTCATTTTGAAGGGATCTTAGTGTAGTTTAGGGGGGGAAAAAGTACTTGTGCATGTAAAAGAGTATGTTTGAAAGAGAAAAATTTACTCTCATTTCTAAGACAATTCGGGGCCATTTTCCTTACAGTGGAGTCTTGTAAGATGGATCTCTGATGGTATAGATGGGAAATGGTAGCCTTCAAGGAAGCAGGAACACTTAAGTGTTACTGAAGGTTTAATCACCAACTTTCTGCT